CATTTTTACCATAAATAATTAAGTCCAGTTTTTCTCTCAAAATCTGAAATTACTTGAATAAAACAAGGAGGTTGACACACTTTCTGCAGTTGAATATCTCCTGTCTCATCATCTTTGTTCACACATGATTATTTTTAAGTCGACTGCTATTTAAGTTTACCAATATATATTTTTAAAATTATTATTTTTTAATGAAAATTACCTTTATTATTTATAGACTTTTGGGGAGGAGGTAATAAGGCTTACTTATTTTAATGGAGGTACTGGGGATTGAACCCAGGACCCTGTGTATGTTAGGCATACACTCTACCACTGCGCTATACCCTCCCTCCTACCAATATATTTTTTGAGTTTCTTTTTCCCTTAGGACTCACTTTTATTGTGGCTAAAGTACTTTCTTTAGTAGTTCATTCATTAAGAGTCTTTGTTGGTAAACTCTTTCAGTCTCTTTTATCTGATACTACCCTTATTTTCCTCACTTGAGCTAAATTTTCTATATTAGACTCTCTCAACTCTTAATATACTGTTTATTGGCCCTTTTTCATCTATTGTTGGAGAAACTTCTGTTGTCAGCCTTATTCTTGTTGCTTTATGGGTAACCTGTCTTTTTTTTTTTTCCTATAGCTTTTAAGATTTTATCTATCATATTTTCCAGTTGCTGTACAATGTTTCTAGGTATGGATTCGTTTTAATTACCCAGTTTGGCCCTTGAGGTACATTTTATATTGTGATTTAGCTCTTACTTTTGGAAGATTTTTGTCATTTTCTTTCTGAATATTGCTTCCCTTCCTTCTCTTCTGAAACTCTTTTTGTTTACACATATTTTGGGGATTTATAATTTCTCTCTTTATGTCTGTGCTGCATTCTAGATGACGTCTTCAAATCCATCTTCCAATCAATTAAACCTTTTTGTTGAAGATTATAGAAATTGGTTGTGTTTGAATTTCTTATTTCAGAAACAGTATTTTAGAATTTTTGTATTTCTAGTTGGATCTTCATAGCTTGTCGTTTCATTTCAGCATGTTTTGGTTTTGTAACTTCTTGTTCCTTTTTTATGGATATTATTCTTTAATTCATCTCACTGTACACCCTAAATAACTTTTTAAAATGTCATTTTCAAGTTTGGTTAGTTTCATCTGTCCATAACAAGTTAACTTTGGATTTGTGTTGAAGTTTCGGTGTACAGATTCTGCATGTTCATCTGGAGCAGGAGGCGCTTTCTGTGTCTCTCTCGCTGTTCTCACTCCCCTCTCCCTGTCTAGCAGTCTCGCGTTTTCTTCCACAGGCCCACGTACCCACAACCTCCATTACAAATCCACGTTTGAGATTGGCAGTTTGTCCTTCTGCCCTACAGAGCTTTTTAGATGATTACAGCTCCGTTTATTGAGCTGGAAGGCTTTGGCTTTGTTCATTGTCAGAGGTTATATCTGTGCTTTTCTATATCTATTTCTATATCTGTGCTCCCTAAATAGTGTTTTCTATAAGCAATGGCCTGAGTCAACACTCAGCAGTACCTTCTTAAGCCTCCTTTCCTGGAGCGCATGTCGCATATCAGCCCCCGCTTCCAGGCAGTGGGTGGGACCCAGGTGCTCCACCACCTCGGGGCACTGTTACCTTCCCATCCACCCACAGGCTGAGCTCCGGACCACCGCTTCCTCGCCTGGAGCCCAGAGGCCTGTCGCTCAGCCTACCTGCTATCCCTTTGCGTTTGTTTCATTTTTGATCCTCAGACATTTTTACCTTTTTTATTTTTAGGTGCCTGTATATCTTTTAAATTTTTCCCATTTATGCTCTTGTTACTGTATTTTTGGAGCAGGGACTGTGAGGTTATAGAGTTGGCTCAAAGCTTGAATTTCCAATGGTTTCTTGTTTTCAATACTTGTTATCTGTAATAATGCACTCCACCGGTCTTTAACAAATCTAAACTCCTTAGTACTAAGATGAAAATTGTGTTGAATCTATTATTTCTTAAAATTATTGTGATCTTTCTCTACAACTTAGGGATGCTCCAGTTATGCCAAGATGTTTATTGTAGCAGGAATTGGTCTGTAAAGGCAGCATTTTTAAAAAACAATTTTAGGAAGCAGAGATCAGAAGCCAAACACCTTTGCTCCTTTTTTGTTTCCTACATTAGTCAATTTAGCAAGAAAATGCAATATAAAGGAAGCATATAGGATATAGAATCAGGAACCGTCTCTGAATCTTTCTCTTGTGTTGATATGGTCCTTGTCTAATTTTTTTTTTTAAGTTTCTTTGTTTTCAAAAACCTTGCTGCCTCTAAATATGTAGTAAGGTCTTTCAGGAGAAAAGAAGACATATGTATCAAGAATCTTTAAATTGCAAGTGACAGAAACTAACTTACTCAAAATAATTTTTTCCCTCATATAATGGGCAGTGATACACTCATCTGGTCTCAGGGGATCACTGAATTTCAGGACTTAAATGCTGCTGAAAGAGGCCATCTATTTCCTTGACTTCTCTGTGTGTTAGACTCATTCTTTTTCATTTGGGGACATTTTTCCGCATTGGTTCAGAAGTGGCTGAGACACATGAGGGATAGCTGCAGACAACTCCTGGTTTAATTCAGCAAGACTTAAAAAAAACTCTGAAAAGATATTGTTCCTCCCTGCCCCCAGCTTTTGAATGTAAAATCCCAGGAGAAGACCTTGATTGGCCTAATGTAGGTCACACGCCTGTTTTTGCCCAAATGATCCTGCAGGATCTTAGGTCCTCTGCACATGCATTTAGGTGGCCGTGACTGATCGGTCTTCCCACTAAATGCTGTATCATTAGAGGGTAGTCCTTCTCTGACCAGGAGAAGAGAGGAAGGTATGTCACCAGTTAAAAACAGATGTCTATTTCATGTACATCATCTGTACATTAACTTCTTATTTTTCCAGGCAGAAAGAATTTACTTTCAGGTTTTCTTCCCTAAGGGGAGTAAGGAGAAGAGCAGGCCAATGTTCTTTTGCCAGCGATGGAGCATCGGGAAGGTCATAGACGCCGCGGCCTCGTTAGCCAGCCTTAGAAATGACAATAACAAGTCAACGGCTCAGGTAACAACAGGTTGTAGCTTTCCCCTAGAAGTTTTAGAACACTCCATAAGCATGTGTATCTATTACAGTATCCGTTACTCCTCTCTTCACAGAAATTGAGGTTATGTCACGTTACCTCAGGAGAAGCCTTGCCCTTGGATCATATTTTGGAGACCTGGATCACTAAGGAGGATTGTCCTTTACATAATGGTGGAAATATCATCTTGGAATATCTTAATGATGAAGAACAGTTTTTAAAAAACGTTGATTCCTACTTGGAATAGTCGTTCAAGGATTTGAGCCAGGACTCATGAAGAAAATTCAATGTTAATTTCTTTTACTACAAATGCTATATATTTTTTATTTGTAAAAGTTGCTTTTTATTTCCATTATGTCATAATTTATCAGTGTTTTATTAAATTGAATTTGAGTGTTTTAAAGTTTAACTATGAACTGATGTTTAATTATTAGCAAATTCTTGTATCTAATTAGCCTCTTTTAGGTTATGCTGGAGTAACAGCAACAAAGGTGTGTTTCTCATTTGATTAATGTCAGCTGTTGACTGGCCATGACTCTGCTCCATGTCATCTTTACTCCAGAATGTAAGCTGAAGCCATGACCCCCTTTGGGGACATTGCCTTTCTCATGGCAAAGGAAGAAAGAGATGACTCTTAGAAGATACGGGTTTCACTTCTGTTTTAAACAAGTCACATGACCAAGCCTAGCATCCTAAGGCCAGGATGGATGGCCTTAGTATCTGCCTGCATCATGGTGTGTAAGTGATGTGTGTACATGATTCATAGAAACTTAGAGGTCGTCTCATAAACTCTTCTAAGTTTGTGAATGAGGAATCTCAGGCGTGGGAAGGGGAAACGATTTTCTTGTCATCTCAGCACTCTGGGGCACATCTCTGATAAAAACCCCCTCCAGTGGTATTCACCTTTTTTGTCTATGAATATTTTACAAATGAGAAGGAAAATGGGATAGCTCAATTTCATTACAGGCTCTTTGTAAATACCAAAGCAAAACACATGCCAAAAGGAATGACCTTTTACCAACCAACACATTAAAATGAGTGCTCCAGTCTGATGTATGCCATCTGTACTCAACAAAGTATTGCTATAGAGAAGGGACACAAATTATTTAATTGCTGTTTGTCCCTCTTCTGTTTTGTGATAGACAAGGATAGTGGCTTTAGGCTTAGTTAAAGGAATAAACTCAGAATGTTCATTTCATCTCTGATACTTTCTTCATATTTTCATACAAAGAATGGGGGTAACTTCTGACTTCTGTCAGTTACTTATGCATTCATTTATTAACCTACTTATGCAAGTAGCTAATAAATGGAAGGACTGGATTCTGACTGCCATGGTGGATACAGTGAAGAGCCATATACATGCTTAAAACTATAACGCAAAGCAGTGTGGCAACTGCCAAATGAGTAGATTCTAAGTGTAGCTATGTTCCAGTAGCTCTTACATCAGAAACTCTTAAGACCAGAAGTAGAAATAGTCCTTAAATATATTCCCAGAAATAAAAATAAAACCAGAAAGTTTTAATACCAACTAATACCCGAGCATCTGTCATAATAACTTGCACACAGATGAGTAACACACGTCTCATGAATTGAACTGAAGCTAAATATGCCAGAAAAAATACGAATGGGGGTTGAGAAGAGGGGAGGTCAGGATGGCAGAGACCGAGTACACCTAAGGAGAATGAACAAGAGTTTTGTGATTAGAGACGAAGCAGGGAAGGGCTTATGTCATCAGGCATCTGGTCCCAGACAGCGGAGCAGACTAGCCTGGAAGAGATATGGGTACCAGCCTTCTTGGGGGCTCTTGGGACCAGGGGCTCCAGCACGAGCAGTCACCAAAAGAACACTATCGCGGGCAAGAGGGGAAGTCCCTCTAGCGTCTGATTTCCAAATTACACTGAAATCAGACAACTTTCTCAGGCTTTTAGGGTCCTCAGTTGAGTCTACTTAATACAATTGTAGAGTTTGATGGAACCGCCCCACCTTAGTATCATTACACCTGCTTGCAGACAACTGAAATTGTAAATAGAAAACCCACAAAGAGAAAAAAGTTTTAAATTCAGACAAATAATTGTAACTACACCTGGATATAAATGAACTTCAGTTTAGTGTAATCAGCCAGTAAATACACACGAGTGATAGATTGTCAGATTTTTCCCAGATGTGTCAGGTTTTCAGGCAGTTTTCAGGAGAAAACTTGGAGAAACTGGAGAAGGTACGACTACAGACAGAGGAATCGGTGGAAAACCAAGTGTACATTCCTCACCTCTTTGACCTGGGTGACAAAAATTGTGAATTCAGATATCTGGTCACACAACTGTCAAGACAGCTTTGGTTTCAGAAAGTTCTTGTGTCCGTTTTGTTTTTCTCTTTTAAACTAGGGAAGTTCCCTGTGGGAATTTAACTGAGAGAGCACAGAAACATTTATTCCTCGCCCTATTTTCAGCATTGTTGCAGTGCATCTTGTTTTCCTTAATATAATATATAGAGATAAAATTTATGGAATATGAAGTCTATTGCATTTAAAAAGTTAACCTACATAAATCAAATTTTTTAAAACTTACAAGAATGTCCAATAAAAATTGCTTGGCAATTTTTGAGGAACCAGTATTTTATGACCTAAAATGCTTAATATGTAACTGTCATTGTTGCATTTGACACAGATTGTGTCATGGCTACAGGAAGGAAAGGCTGAAATGGTTATAGATTCAGAGACCATTAGATCTGTGGACTCAGTATTAGATAATTACAGTGGATTTTTGTTTTGTTTTGTTTTGTTTTGTTTTGTTTTGTTTTGTGCTTAGCATCAGAACCACCTCCTCTTGTTCGGGAAATGAAAAGGGTTTGTGAGTCTGGGCAGAAGTGCAAAAGGCCTGATACTTTTCCTTGTTCCTGGCAGCTAAGCCACAGGCATATGACCTAAGTTGGGTCCATTGAATATCCTTGCCTCTAACTGTGAAGAGAAAATAATGTTACAAGAAAGGAATAAGAGATTAGAATTAGTCCCAGTGGCCTTCCATTGCCCCATTGTGTCAGGGGCCAAGTGTCTAGCAGCCGTGGCCCCTTAACTAGGCTGTATCTTTGGCCTTGGATCCAGCTATCTGCTTGCCCAAGGTTGCCAAGCTATCTGGTAACCACCCAGGAAGCTGTTTTTCTACCTAAGGACACCAAAAACAGTTTCAGATTTTGCCTTGCATATGCCATCACTGCTTAGAGTAGTGGGAAAACTCTTACTAGCCTAAGGATGCTGCGAGGCCAGTTCATGGGCTCTGCAGTTTCCTGATTAATGATAAGGGGCCACTCAACTGCGCTCCAAGAGGGACGAGACATCTGGCTAGATTACGGTGGTGTCCCCAGCTCCTGGCTCAGGGCCCCAGCACACGTGTTCACTAAGTTCGTATTTCCTTTTGACCCGAATGAGTAAAAGAGTTAACACCCACCTGCAGGTCTCCTCAGTATCTATTTAAAATTTTTGGATCCTATCTGCTTCGAATGCAGGTGTTCCTTAGGAAGAAAGACGTCAAAAAAGATGACACTCAGGCTTTTAATTAAGGTAAATAAGAGGCTATTTTTCCAGTAGCAGAAATGAGGAAGTCAAGGGGAAAGAGGTTAGGTTTCTGCTGTGATGAATTGAAGCTGCCATGGCTTTTACATTTCGTAACTGTGGGTTAGACCGGTTGTGTCACTTGGTAGATAGCTTTGTATTTGTTAGAAAAGTATGAGTCCCTCCTACTGGACTTTGCTTCCACAAAAACAGCTGTTACAAAACAACCTCAGACC